TTTTATGAGTTATAATAAATTTATACAGCTCATGCTTTCAGAATTTACCGGCACAATAATTCACAGGGCGAGGGCGCTACAATTTTTTTTGGCTCCTTTTAAATCCATGTTGCTGATTTCACAGTCAGTATATCAAGATTCCTTTGAGAAGCGAGTCTGGGTGGAGTGTCCTGACAACACTGCGCGAGAGTTTATCGAAATCAGTGTGAGATGATAATCTTCACTCCCTTCCTTTGCTTACAGACTGCAGCTGATCTCTCTCATCTGCAGGACGCTGGCTGATTTAGACGTTCATTTTATGGTTCTCTGTGATTAACACCTGGCCACTATCGAGTCATCACTCATCTTTTATTTAATGATAATTTTGTCGCCCAGCACTGAGCCAGCACGTGCATTTTTAAAGACCCCTTTCTTCTAGTAAAGCTGTCAGCACTATTAAACCTACATAAGAATAACCTCCAGCTACTTCTTTTAGCCAAAATTTAGCCTCCAGACTTTTAATGCATCATACATTTCTGTTTACCGCCAGTCATAAATCTGTTTGTTCAAACCACATCAATGAATTACTGCCGTAAAATATACATTAAACACAATTTTAAAGGAAATGCATACCTATTTGGTGTATTTCGCCATATAGTTTATTACCCCTTGTATACAGACTTTTCACCATGTAAAAATTATGTGTTATTTTTTAAGCATGCCAATCCAGGTACTCCTTTGTGTTCAGCTGTGTGGGCTTAGCCTGTACACGTTTTATATGGGTAACAGAATGGAGTTTCATTTACAGACTGTTGCTAAAGTGGGAAAATATGATATTTATAGATGGTGGGCAGCAATGTTTATTTATGATCATGAAAAGGACTGTAAATAGTTCCAGTGAATACTATTTCTTAGACCAGTGATGTCATGAATTATTGAAATATGCAAAACATAACTAGTCATAAAAGGAAGAGATTCAGTTGAAGGAACTTTCATGGCTGTGGTTCCTCTGCGATGTGCTGTGAACGGAAAGGCATTGGGAGGACATACATCATCTTCGGTGTGAGCTGAATAGGTAGACCTACTGCAAGCCAAAGGTCATCGGACACAAAACAGGAAGTCAGCATTGCTCATTAATTCATTTCAGGGTTTGTGTCCTTTTTGGGGCCGGCAGTAAGGGTGCTATTTAAGGCAGCAGTCACAAAGCAAGTAAGGTGAGAGCACATCAGGCCATGCTCCCCTCACTTCATCCTCACTTACTCTTAAATCCCTTCTTGCTCCACCCTCCCTCAGTGCCACAATTGTAAGGTATATCCCAGGCAGATCACTGAGATCATCCAACAGTAATTAACTGGGCATTCCTAAAATCCCGCTGAGAAGGGAAGAGGCAGCTTTTCATCACTATAGTCTATAGTTACTTAATCTTAGAGAGAGAGAGAGAGAGAGAGAGAGAGAGAGAGAAGTAAGGAGCATGCACTGATTAGTGTCCCACACTGGCGTATGGTAACCTATGGCAATCATTCATTTAATTGATTTATTGTATGCACTTATAGGGCTGCACAATTTATCGTAAAAAAAAACCGGCATCTCCAACTGTACCTCTATGCGATCTCGCTTCTAAATTACAACGGATCTTCTGCATTGTATTACATCAGCTCAAAACAAGCGCTCCTGCTTTCCCTCAAGCATTCCATAATTCTGCATTCTCTTTAAACTGTGCTTTCCCAGCGCACCAGGTATCTTGCTTCGAAAGTATGGTTCTTTCAATTAAGTTTTTTTGTATAGCGGATTTTCACAACAATACATTGTCTCAAAGCGCTTTACATTATCCCCGCCCAAAGCCACCAAGATGTTTGTCTTCCACTGGCGTAAAAACCGGTACACCGGCAGTGAATGATATCACAACGTGAGGCGGGTTTTTTGTATTGAATTAAAAAAAATGGATGTAGTATATTATAGGGTTGGACGATGTGCGATATTAATACCAACGTCGCATGTTGTGCATATGCAGTTCATACTTTGTCAGTCAGCTACTTTAAGATAAGGGTTTTTCTTCGCTTCGGTACAGACATTATAGCGTAGGGAGTTTAGATTTCGTTAAAGCATTTTTAATTTGTCATAGGAAAAAATAAGTTTTGTTATCTTAATTGTTATTTCATTTCAAGATTATCAAGTATTTGTTATGTTTAAAATTTACCTCCGCTGCTTTTGCGTCAGCGCTGCATGCATTCTCTGAGACAACCATTTTCTTTGCTGTTTAAGTCACTCCTTTGACTGGTTCGTGATAGATTTATGTTGAACTCCTTTTTGTTTTATAAATACCCCAATATTTAGTACAACAAGATCACATTACAATACATAGAATTTTTCCAATACCGTACTGTCCTAATATATTATGTAAAATACTTTATTTTTGTTGTCCTGATCTCTGGTTTTTCGGACCAGATCGTAGTTAAGGCTTGGGTCACTTCAGTTGTCCACGCAACCATTATTAACAATTATTATTATTTACCTCATTTATCGTTGTTTACTGTGTTTTCAAGACGGCGGTTGTATTGCATTTTAGAGGCAGGCTATTTGTATAACCGATCGACAAAGAATTAAGGCGTTTCAAGTCCCACACCAGGTACCGAAGTACCAAAAAAGTTCCCCACTGGCAGTTTTGGTACTGTAACTTTGGGTATGGATGTTTTGGTTACCCTAACTGAACGGTCAACTGAGCGGTTCCTTTCTGTTGTCAGCAGTTGGTATGACAGTCTGGGATCAATCATATGTTTTGTTGTGTTTCCTTTTTCAGTTTAAAGAGTGCAATAAATTTGAGGGGGGGTGAAATCGTTACAGAAAATCACGATCTCAATTCTAAGCATAAAAAAGAATCGCGATCGCGTTTTTTTTCCAGAATCGTGCAGCACTATGCGCTTATTTTAATTTTTATAATTTTTTTGTGGTTGCTTCTTTTAAAACGTATGCAAAGCACGTTGTAGGCCCTGTGGATAGAACAGTGCTATGGAAATAAAGACTGATTGATTGATTGACTGAGGGAAAGGGCAGATGGCCACGAGCCTTTCTCTCTATACGGGCATAAACTCAGAGGACTTGGGATGATTCATCATTAGAGAAACAAAGTGTCACAGAAGAGCCACTGTCTTTATAGGATTATAAGGGGCCAACACTATGTGGGAACATAAAGTTTGAAATAAGAGGCTGTCCTGTGTTGCGTGCCCTGCATCGTCCTAATGTCCAAGCACCCACACGGCACAGAACGTCCTTTAAGGACAGCACAGGCAGAGAACGAGGGTAAGCCTTTTGTTTGGCTGATTGCCCACAGCGTAACCCTGCTCAGCGGTGACCTGATGTAAAGAACAGCTGTGTGCTCATCTTTATGGTTCTGCGAACATGACAGCCCGCAGAGTCCTGATTTACACGGGTGGAGATAGCGTGCAGTCTCATAAAGCTGACATAGCCCACTTTGAAATGCACAGCACAGAGCACAAAGACACATATATGGATCGATGGCAGGAAGGTAAAGCAAAAAGACTTCAGATGAGCTACCAGCACATTGTTTCTGCTCAGCCTGATGAATAAAAACAAACCATTAAGACCTAAAGTAACATGCCGCTGTTTTGCAGACTTTTAGCTGTCAAAATTAAGTGCTTTACCAAGTGTGTGTGAAAATAATGCAGTCTCTCACATACATTATCACCGACTGCAAAAGTGGGAGGTATATTTATAAAAAAAATCACAGAAATCTCTTAAGTTGTGACAATTACTTAATAATAATCATAGCAATGTTGTTTCCAAGGTGGCTCCCCAAATATCTGGCTGAGGTACAAGGCCCCAGTCATAAAACTTAAAGAGCAAAGGATTAGGGGATATTGGAGGCTGGACTTTTTGGTGTTAGGTGTAAGTGAGAAACTGGACCGGTTCTTAGACAGTTATTGAGTGCTGATATGCTGGCAAGAACAAATGAGTTTGAAGAAGGGAGGAGCATTATGCACAAATACTTCACCCAGACTAATTGCTAATAACAGAAAAAAATGCCCGCGAACAGGGACTCAAGTCCTACGGAGTGCCACAGACATATCAGAGGGATTACCTCGTGTGCAGTCCTGAGCACCCCGCGTTAGCCTCGTGCTTCTGGATGTGTGCACTAAGCTCCTACTCACGTTCTACACTAGTCCATCGTATCCAGTGTCACGCTCTCCTCTGCTGTTCACTCGCAGGTAATATCATCTTGGATAATGAGGCCCCTCGTTTCCCCAGAGAGCTGCCACAGCTGAGGAGCCCCGGCAGCCCTAAGATGCAAGACTTAATGCCTCAGGTGCTCCTTGGTTCCTCCTGCTGTTGGTATGCTGAGTGCTTCTGCCCTCCACGTCCCTAATCCTGCTCAGTTAGGAGGCTACCTCTCTAGCTACCACTCTATTGTCTCATGTCTACCAAACTCCTTCCATGTATATACCTCACCTGTCCATGTGCACTGTACGATACACTATCTTGATATTTATTTATTCTTGGGAAGGTATACAGCACTGGGAGTTATTTACTTTTGTGATGCTGCTAGGCAACAAAAAATTACGCCTGGGGGTCAGTGAAGTTCAATCAAACGTATGAGAACTGCCTGCAAAATGAAAATTTTACATCTATACAAAAACCAGACCAGAAGACGTCATGTAAAGTGTGACTGCAGTGAAATTACTCCTAGTTGAAAAAGGCCAAGTGAATTTAAAACAGACAACAAACAAGTGTTTGTGGGCAGTGGTGGCTTAATGGTTAGGGAAGCGTACTTGTAGTTGAAAGATTGCTGGTTCGAATCCCTGACCAGCAAGTCACCACTGAGGTACCCTGAGCAAGGTACCGCCCCCAGGCACTGCTCCCCGGGTGCTGAATCAGCTGCCCCCTGCTATGTCACATATGGGTTAAATGCAGAGGACACATTTCGTTGTTGTGCACTGTGGTGTGTCAATGACCACTGATCACCAAATTATAAGATTAAAAAGAGCAATAAAACGTCAAACATAAACTTCAGATTCTAAAACATGGAGTTTCACTTCATTTAAAAAGATGAAAGCAAACAGAATATACTGCAGAGCCCAGGAACAGGACCCCTATATAAATTCAATACTAAATCAGCATGGAAGGCAAGTGTAAGACATAAACTGACTGTGTATATCAACATAAATACAACCATTTATTCTTAATTTAAGAAATACGTCTTGGTGATGCCTCTAGATACGCTCAGAGACATAAATGGCAGCCTTGCAGCCAAGTTGAATGGCGCTCTTCAAAAGCCAGTATCCAGGGACCTGGAACACAAACAGCCTTTACCATCAGAGCACTGCACCACGCAAGAGCACAGAAAGCGCTTCAGCTCGCTTCTGACCGGAACTTGACAGGAAAGATTAGCTAAAGCGGAAACAGCATCACAAAGCAAAGCTACATCTAAAGACGAAAGCTACACACATGCAACAGAGAATGTAGAAGAGCTGTTAGTGGTAGAGAGACTGAGACATGACAGAGCAGGGACCCACCCTTACCGATTCGGCATCATGTTCCAGTCCTGTGTCATGATGTTCAATCTCATCATCACGGAACTCTTTAATTAACTGAAAAACAATAAAACAATCTGTTAACTGCTTTCCAGCATAACACATCTATAGCCACCTAAGACCTAAAGTCCATACAGTAGGTTATGTATTACAGAGCAAATTCAATACATACCATCTCATAACATTTGCAGGGCCTATTACAGGAACAGTTCCCTTTAATGGGCCTACATTGCCATCTACAGGGTACTCATGTATTTCAATGATTCAGTAGCTGCTTTTTCAAAACTTCAAACCTGCAATAACAATGATATCACATACTAGGCCTGAGAGGGATCTCATTTTTCATTATACTGAGGCATATGGTATTTTCGTGGTATTTTCAAAAGCAATGTTACTCCAGAATTTGGAAAGGAGCCACCAGAAAAAATCTGTCGAGGGGTGGTGGAGGGGAAGGGGGGACACCCAATAAAAATACCATGATCAGAATCAGAATCAGAATCGCGTTTATTGGCCAAGTATGTGAGCGAACACATACAAGGAATTTGATTCTGAGATGTTTTTTGATTTTGATTCTTTGATGTCTGTGTGTGTGTGTATATATATATATATATATATATATATATACACACACACACACACACACACACACACCAGCAACTACTGTTATACTACTCAAGCCTAATTAGAATACTGACAGGTACTGAATTGTGGGGGTGACATATAAAAAAAATATAGGACGTTCTGGCCCCTTACTTGTAATAAGTCTTTGTATCTCTCAGGGTCAGCCTCCATCAGGGCCCGGATCTGGCTGTTGTAGTGCTCCGAGATGCTCTCCTCCACGGCGACAGTGCACGCCATTGCCCCCTCCTTCCCCAGCAAGGCTGTAGAGGCCCCTGTCGGGCAACAGAGGACACCTGAGATCAATCTGCAAAGCATATCATTGGCAGCCTACGGCAACTTTCAGTCCCCGCCGGAACCATGGCTTTGCCCTTTTCCTTTATGCAGACTGCTGTCCGCCCGTTTCCTCTCTCACTCACCAAGTAGAAACCCAGCGACGTTCCAGAGGGGAAGCAACGCCGTGGGCCGCACTCGGTACTCCGCCAGGATCTCATCAAATTTACGCAGATGTGTCTTCTCTTGCTCCCACATTTGCTGCAGCCCCAGATGAAAAACACTGAGAACAGGAACATCTACTCGCACGCTAAACACGCTACAACCACTTCTCTTTTACAAACTACCTCATTTAGTGACCATTTACAAATACAATGGTGGTAAAAAAAAATATTTTTCCAACCAATGTGTGTATTTATTGCGACATTTTGTGCACTTGACAACAACGGAATCAGTTAAAATCGTGAACACAATCATGGTTACGCCTAGGATACCTTGATTTTCACTTAGCAACCATTTTGCTTAACGACCTGGCCGTTGGAAAGTAACTTAATTGCTAAATAAAGAGTTGTATTTTGGCATGGTCATTGAGGCATTTCAATTGAAAATTTTGATGTAACTGCTGCATGCATCCCACGGTTGATAGCAGGAATAATATGATCTTACAATTAATAGTTGGCAGCTGAGGCATCAGCAGTATTATATTTAAGGTTGGGAATCGAAAATCAATTCCAATTTCAGAACTGAATACTTGTTATAAAGTTAAAATTGTGATTCCGCTTATTGTTTCCGATGTGCACTTTTTCAAATAGACCACAGTAGGGCTGCACGATATCACATCGATATGATAGCAATATGTACAAATACACAATAATCACCAAGGTTAACAGGCATAATAATTTGTCCAGATATTGGTGTAACAAAAATTCTGTGACCATCATAGTGTGCGACTCACAAGTTGTTTGAATGTACATAAGGTTTCCATTCATGTGCATAAGCCTGCAACAGGCATTGTTTTTCAGTTTCTTTCTTTGTCAGTATGGCATTGTACTCCTGAATGAGTGAAACTGCCCGTTCAGCTGTGTCATTGACAAAAAAAGTTTTATGTTTGTTATTTATATTGTTTATATATTGTTATATTCTATTTTATGTTCAATTGAGAAGTCAAATAGGAGAGAAGCCTGTCGTTTGAGTTTGTGGTGAAATATTTTATGGTGCTAGATATTTGTGCTGTTCTTTACTGCATATGACGATGGTGATTATTTAACACATTTCACCATACATCTGCATTATTTGGCATTTTTTGTCTTTCAAATTAATCAAATAAAAGGCTGCTTTCCAGTAATATATTTCCTCTTTGAAGTTTTCCTTAAAGTATTGTTAAAATATCGTCTCATTCTCGTGAACCCATTATCGTGTCTCGTCTCATGGGCTGAGTATATCGTTACACCCCTACTTACAGATAATTAGTTTTCACTCTAACAGTTTTTAGAAAATTAGAAAGTATTATGCAATAATGATGTAGGCAACAATATGGCTACTGTAAACACTGCAAAGAATGTTTAACGGTTTATTCCAAAATTAAAAAATAAGTAAAAGAAAAGCTTGAGCATAGCTACACAAAGCAGGTTATACCAATGCGATGTGCCACAGGCGAGATTCACACTTTTAACTTAAAATCTTCAAATTTCAAGGTGTTTGAGCAACCCCTAAATTTGTTCAAAAAATTGTCCAGTAAATTCTTAAAAACATTTTCTGACGTCAAAGAACAAAACTATGGGATGAGAACAAGCAATTTCAGAAGTTGATTTTTAAGGACCACCCTACTCAGGAATTACTGGCGGAAAGTATTACACGTTTTTTTAAAATGAACATCGATGAGTATTTCTGATATGCAAAACCCGTAGCAGATGTTATGTCTAATTTCCATGTTCATTTGCTCTTATTTTATTTTATTTATGTATTTTAAGTTCTCCAGTGTACATTTTATGTAGTATATGTAAAGGCATATTTCAATGAAAAAGATGTTTTAAAACAACATGACAGAGCTGCTTCTCGGTTTCAGTATCTTACTTTCTGACACTTACAAAGGTGTTACAAATCGGCTGATGCAGCGAATTTAGTGATGCACCATTGCGTGCTGTACATTTACTGATACAATTAGAAATTCTGCGCTGTCTGAAGTATGTGAAGGGAGTGAAAAAGTCTGCTTTAAGACCCACTCACATTCTTTGCCTAAAAATGGTGTGATGTTGCTTTTTGCGTGATATAGTCACCCTTTTACAAGAGCTAACCTGTACACCCCATTCATGATTCATGAAATCCTTCCAGAATTATGATTTCTTTACATGAATAATTCACCTGATGTATTTTTGACTGTCATTGTTTTTTCTATGATTTGTTTGGGGTCACAGCATCACAACAGCATATTCTTATGTTTATTACATTGGATTAGCGGAGCACACCACATGCTACTGTTCTGGTATACCATGGAAGCGATAAACACACTGAAGTGGCACTGAAGAAATGGACCGCTCTGCAGTCACATCATCTTTTAAAAGAGGAGATGTTGTGGATAAAGAAGGGAAAAAGGTGTTGGTGGTGTAGCAGTACTTTTGGAAGTTTAAAGGCCAACACATTTTTTAAACATAAGGATACCCCTAATTTATACAAATTACTAACTTTTGGCTGTCAGTTAAAATGGATAAAAGCAGTTATACACATCAGAGCCAAGACACAGCATAGAGACTGATTTCAAAGTGACGTCCTGGCTGTTCTTCCTGGACTTTTCCGCTCTCTCTGAAAATGTTGTGGTTGGTGCATTCTCAGTACCTGGATCAGTGGTCCTAAATGGGTCCTCCCCAGAACCGCCATCTGGCCAGCATATATGCGATTGGCCCCAAACTCTCCAGCATGGTCGACCCTCAGCATTCTGTCCAGGATCGCTTTCTCCTCAGCATCATGGGGGGGTGGCAGCACACTGTAACCCCGGGAATTCAGGGGAATCACTGATGCTTTGTGCAAAAAAAAAAAAACAACACACACACACTTTATCTGATAGTCAGCCACACATCTATTCAGTGACATAACTGAACAAATGATACCTGACGATTTGAGCCAAATGCCCAAGATTTGAAGATTTGTCTTACACAGAATTAATCTGATTTACGTACCGATTACGAGTGTCTACAAACATAGCAGACATAGCCTGAGGGCACATATTAGTTACATTACTGAACCACTACGGAGACTCTCGGTAAGTAAAATAACGCGTTTTCTGTAATTATTAAAAGACAGTTATCATGTGCAAGTGTTGGTGTCCGAAAAACAGCACATTTCTGCGGTTTATTCATCTGCTTACCTCTGTAATGCAGTACCCTGGTGATATTGAAAACCCGCGCCCAGAGATTAAGTGTCATCTTCTGGGTCGCCGAAACCATTTACGCTAAATCAAAAATAAAACTCAGACCAAAATGTCATTGCAATGTTACTGCCGCATCCTGACGGCCGGCGCTTCCTGATGACGTGCTCACGAGTGTGCTCTCGTGCCGGAAGTAGCGCGGCAGATCCTCCAGGCAAGTGTCAATGCGCTTCTGCGTGTCGCTGCTGTTTAATGGGGCAAGAAGAAATGTGCTCAGACGGAACAAGCTGTTATATCACACTACTTTAAAAGCGCAAATCATATAACTTAAAATATTAATTACACCCAAGAAAAAATGTGATGAGCATTATAAATAAAAGCAAGTACACCTCATGTGAATGGATGTTTTAATTTCACTTCTTAGGAGTAGAACAAAGAGAATATGCTTTTGGGTATGGTGCATAGTATATGGATTTGATGTATGTAAGCATACGCAAAAACAGAGATTACTGATTAGTGTTTCCCATGTTAAAAAATCCAAACAGCCATACCTATTAAGACAATTATTAAAATGCTGTATTAACTTAAGGTTGAAGGTCTGGGCAAAGGGGTGAGGTTTTATATACAGGCAGTAGCCATTTCTGTCTTACAGGATTCTAGCATTGGGAAGTGGTAGAGGTATAATCTCACTCCAGCCAGCTGACCAAAGCTGGCAACCCAGATTCCCTGCACACTGCAAGCTAGATGGCAGTCTTGCACAAATTGGAAATTCTAGTGTAAATTGAGTAAGCGTTACATATGAAACTGAATTGTGACTTTCACTGAGACAATAGATGGATGGATTGATGGATGAATGGATTACCTTATAGACCATTCTTTTCTTCATTCTTTTCTTCATTCTTTTCTTCATTCTTTTCTTCATTCTTTTCTTCATTCTTTTCTTCATTCTTTTCACACATTCTTGTACTACTAGTAGTAGCCACACCAGCAGCACCATTATCTCTGCATATTTATTCACTTTTTTTTGCTCATAACTCATTTGTTGTTCTGTAGTGATTTGTTTATTGTAATCTCTCTATATGTTTATGGTTGTGATGCTTGATAATGTCATGTCACACAGGAATGTCACATCACTGGAGCGCTGCTGAGTTAATTTCTTAAGCCATTCCAATTAAATGAACGGGTTCTGTCACTAGGAGAGTCGGTGAAAATGAACATTCATCTTGCTGTTCAAAAGTAATTGAGCCGGTTCTGCACTGGGCCAGCATTATTTTGGAAGCACGACATGTTGAATAAATCTTTTTCCTGAGACAGAATGAAGAGAGGCAGGTTGAAAATGCCGGAAAAGGCATCCCACATGATTATGGGAAGCCGGCTGCCTGCACCCTGCACTTAGAAAGGGCCCCGTGGGCAGTGACCACACGTCACTGCAAACACGCCGAAGGACCATCTGTCGCATATCATATTTCTCCACGGCCTGGCAGTAGTGTGCTCCTGCTCCTTGCACCGCTGGATCCATAAATAGCCTTTATGATGGTATAAATAGTATTTATTATGGGTGGTTTCCGTACAACAATCTGCCTACAGTATCCTGTCATGTTAAAATTTGCTTTTCATTTGTCCACTTCCTTTTTTCCATTATTCGTGAAAGAAGGCTGCGCGGAGACTCTGGGAATGAGGGCACAGAGTTTCCCAAACGGACCCTTCATGTCCTGCCGGCTCCAGTGAGATACAGCAGGATGCCATTCTTGGGTAATTCCTTCTGAAGCACCTACTTAAAAGCAAAAAGAGCGAGACCTGTTGTTGCCAAAGTTATAAGTTCTTATAACCTGAGTAAATCTTACCTACATTATTATGACTCCTTCATACCGAGTGACTTACAGCTTTGGTGTTGAAATGTCAATGGAGGAGTGTGAAGGAATGTGAACATAAGACAGTAATCTCAGTCCAGCTGTGGTTTAAACAATGTGTTCATAACTCACTTTTTCAGACCGCAAGTGTGAAACCCGGATCACAAAGATAATAGTATATCCATCCATCCATTCATCCATCCATCTATCAATCCATAAATACATTTATCCTGGTCAGGGTCAAGGGGCGGGAGGCAAAAAATGATGATAATAATAATAATAATATATAAAAATAAAAACTACACAGCAGATGAGCGACCCAGGTGCAGCAAGTGGAAAAGAAAACTGGGAAAATGGTAAACGGCGACATAGTTGGGTAAGAAATACAAGATCAACATGGTAAGTCAAGTGTGGAGGTCCTGCTAAACCAGGACCCACTACTGCGGTTTGTGCCATGAGGTACATGGGTTGGTAGCTTTTTCACTACAGATATGAACTCTTTAAATCTGCCACAGAATTATAAAATCAATACCATCTGCAAAATGTGTCTTTAATTTGTGATGGAAAAGCCATGATTAGCAAGACTGACCGCTTGAAGGTTGAAGGTCTCTGTATGGCCGCCGCTGTGTGTTGAAACCCACTTTCTGCCCTTGAATGTCTCTCCACTCCCCCCACAGTTATGTTATTCTATATATGTCCGCTCAGTTTTGTTTTTGTGATGTTTTTCCCCTGATTTCAGGACAGCTGGCTGTCGGCGTGCGATGACGCGTTTACCCCCACCCCCGCTCCATGGGCAGCTCCTGCATATTTGTGGTGCGACTCAGGCAAAACCTTCAAGTGCCTCTGAGTCAGTGTGTCTGCAGCTTAAGGACAAGATCTGTCTTGTGGGGCAATACTATAAGGGACTTTAATGTTAAAAATTCAATTGATATCTCACCACCTACATAGCTGTGTCACAGACTTCATCAACAGTGATAGACAACAGTACACAACAGAACGTTATGTTATCAGCTGTTACACTGATTATGTAGTCATGGACTACTGGTGGCAGTGGTACAAGTAGATACAGTTTTACTGGCACAGTAACTGTGGTGATCTGTTCTAGGCACATTCTTCAGTAGCACGTTATCATATGGCAGAGGTACAATTTATTAACTTTGTTCAGATGCAAATGAGATCATATTTTGTCATATGTCATTTATCTCTTCACGTGTCTAGAACTGTCAGGTATCTATATTCCATCTGTTTAATATATACGTTACCTCTATGTACAAAGTATATGCTGTACATGTTGCCTCTATATACAGTATATACAGTATATATATATATATATATATATATGGACTGTAATCCTGTCCAGGGTGTACCCCTGCTTTTTGCCCTATACTGTCTGCTCCCACTGGCTTGTACTCTGTTAGCAGTTGGAAGAGGGATGGATGGATGAATGATCTGTATAATGGGGCTGGAAGACTTTTGGGATTTCCCTACAGAATCTGCAGCATAACATAGTTCCCTGGGTTCATTAAGCGATGGAGACTCGCAATCTGTTCAGCTTCATATCATACTGTGTTTGTCGTTTTTTTTTTCGAAACAGAGTAAAACCCCAAAATCGTCACCACAGAGAAAGATTAGGTTGTGCTCATAAAGGGTATCGCCTGAGCTTGTGGTCTGCTCGTGGCAGCTATCAAGGGCTGAGAATGCTGTCGAATTCCTCGCTGCAGACGTGGTTAGCGCCTCTGTGGCAGAGATGCAGTTCATGTGGACCACTGCCGGGGGCAGCAGAGAGTACTCCCTGCTGTGAAACCAAAGGCGCTTCGACACGATCAGGACTGGCTTCCAAGCGCACAGTGTGAACCTCCTAGAAATTAGGTTGACGGCAGTGGTGTTATGCAACATTGGTCCTATTTTGAAACCGTATCCATTTTCATTGCTTAGTGGTATGCTTCCGGAAAATACAAGCAGCCTAGTAAAAGACAATTCGTCTTCAGTTTTAAATTGGTAAATGCGCAAAGTCTCCCGAAAGCTACCCAGCCCTTTTTATAGGTACCTATATAAGACCAGCAAAAAGCAACATTACCGAACCGTTTCATTTAAGTGTTTACAATAGAAAAATGTCTCTCTGAATTCGCAGGCCTTGTTAAAGCACTCAAAACAATCTATTTTCCACAGAATTACTGATTCACTGAAAGTGTGTCTGAAGCCATGTGTGCTCCCAGCCTGTTTGTCTAAATGTGTTACTGCAGTGATTAATTAATCACTATTGTCCAGAAACCTTGGTGAGGCTGTGGCTGTCGGCAGATGAATGCAGTGATCTTCAGGTTTACGTACGTCTTCAGAAGCACTGAACTACTTAACCAGACAAAGGGATCTTGCAATTAAACCAGTTAGGATGAAAAATGAACATTCATTAGCAATCTTGATCTGCTTACATTTTTCCATCACTGTCTCAGTCACATGTACTCCGCTGCCAAAATACTTTTCGGATTAATGTAAAAACACAGAAAATAAATAAATAAATTAAATCACGTAATCAAAAGTAATAATCACTCAAAAACACATGTACAGTTTGCATAAACAATGTTTAGATTGTGATTTTAAAATCAATTTATTAATTAAATCTACATTTAGTTTTCAAATTCAGCTGTATTTATCCACTGTACAATCACAAAACAGTCTTGAAAAATCAGATGGATATTGCTGAATGCTGAAGTTCAAGCTTGATTAATTGCGTTAATTGACCGTTGACTGATCTTTCACCTTCAGTGTTACTGGTGTGCATGAGTGACCCCTGAACATGAATGCATGCATGTGAGACTTTGCGTGAACAAAGGTACTGAGTGGCAGTGTGTTTGTGCTTTTAGTGCAAGCCTGAGTGCTTTGTATTTGTATGAGAGTGTGGGCAATTTTTACTGTCTTTTGTGGGAACACTGCTGAATGCCCCATCCATACAAGGACTCCGGATTACTGAATCCCAGATGGATAAACAGCTATTAAAAATGGACAGAGAGTCCAAAATTTAATTCCACATTTATTACCACTTTCTGATCCAAACATTGTTTCATCCTTTTTATGCAGATTCACATTTAATGAACATCTACTGTAGCATTCCAAATTTGTGCTTCAGCTTATAGTTCTTTAAACCTAAGCTTTTAACCAAACCTTGGTTTGTCGCCAGAGTGTTTTTAATTGTGACATCCCTTCTTCTGTGTGTTAAACTATGTTATAGATACCACGAGACACTATGTTCACTATGATTCATAAACTCTCTAAATCTCACTGAATATGAAGTTAAATCTGAATTCAGCAGGGGTTTGTTTAATAGGGAACATTCAGATCTTGATATTTGATACTG